CTTGTCCGTGTTATTGAATTCTGTCACTGTCAGTATCGGGGAAGGCAGCTTTAGAGTAAACAAATACAAGCACTGGGCAGAATCAGTAAAAAAGAGATGACGCTCTACATCAGAGTTCCCCAAACTTTTTTGTGTCGTAGACCCCTTACCATGTTTACCTGATATTGATTTCCTGTAAATTTCTAACTGTAGTGAAGTTTAGTGTTAAAAACTTAAAGTAAAAACACATGTTAATTTATACATTTATTAATTGAATTTATAATTAAAACTACTCAAAATAAATAATGTATATGTTTTGATATTATAAGATAGTATGACATAAGTAAATAGGTACTATCAGTGTATGTGTTGAGATCCACTATCGTGGACACCCATTTTCATTTCATGGACCCCCATATTTTTTTTCGCTGACGTAGACCCCTTGCAGGTTGTCATAGACCCCTAGGGGTCGATATAGACCACTTTGGGAATCACTGCTCTACATTCTACAAGAGAGCGAGAAAGTTAGCAGCAACTGTTACGGCCCCTGTACACATTGGGCCAACGCATTGGGCAAATGCATTGGACCAATGTGTAGAGGGCCATTTTGCAAAACGTTTGTGACAAATCGTAGTTGGCGCAAACGTTGGCCGGCAATTCGAATTGTGTCGGTTTTATGTACATATATAAAAGGATCATGGCGCCTTATAATGAGCAGTAGGCAAATGTGTGAACAGCTACACTCCGCGAACGCAAACGCTTTGGCCCAATGCTTCGAGCCAATGTGTACAGGGGCCTTTACCATTCTGGAAAAAGATTCTTTAGGTAGATTTTACCAATTATAAAATATAAATTGAATGTAGCTAATTACAAACAATTTGTGTATACTTTAAAATATATGAAAAAAATACTAAGGCCTCTTGATTTTTCTTGACTTCATAAACCAAGCCTGTGAAATCGATTTTTGAAATCCGCCATTTTTTTGTTGTCAATATGTCAATTCTGCTCGTATTTATTGGTGGTCATAAAAAAAACCTAACCTCGAAGGTTAAGTATTTTTGGAGCGGAGCTCCCGCCTGAACCTTCTAATCTAATCTATCCGAGTCGGATTCGCTCTGTGTCGATTATGTGACTCATTAAATTAAAAAAAAATCGGACTATCGATACGTGTATGATGTCGCCCACTTCCTATATTTATCATGTTGGTTGTTGGCAGAACTGTGTATTGAGTTTTTGAAGTCAAACAAATAAAATGGTGGATTTCTTAGTAAAAATAACAAGTTTTAAATATTTTTTTCTCGAAAACTATAAGCAACCGCCAAATTCTGCTTGTTGATTAATTCATTACAGATTTATCTCTATCGTTTAAAATTTATTTTAATTGAATTCCGCCAGAGTTAAAGTTATTTACATTTGCCATCTGACATAACTCTTGTACCTATTTTACATAAATTTCATAATGTTTAGTCTAAAATAAGTACAAAATGTTAAAGTTGAAATAAATAGTTTTCTTATCAGTCCTTAAGTGTTTTTTTGGCTTGAAAGTGATCCCATTAGATCTACCATTCAAGAGGTTATGGGCCCAGAAACATCTATATTTTTTGGAGTTTTACCAGTTTTTTGAGCGAAAGTGACAGCGCGCAGAAATTTTCAGAGATGGAGAAGCCCATGAAAACCATTGTTAGAAAAGGATTAACTACCATAGCTAGAAACAAAAGATTATAAGAGAGCTTTGAAAACTGCGGGTTTGAATATATTTTGGAAAAAAAAGGAGCACACTGCGACCACGAAGACAATTGAGGAATTATCCATAAATAAAATGGAGGCATGGGTGATGCAGAAGAAACAATTGAAAATGGAACAATTCAAGAAGTAACAATTGACGGTGTGAAAATGAAGTATGAAAATGAAGAGTACAGAAACAAATGAAGTAGTTTGTGAAGAAAAAAATTGAAGATGTGAGGAATGTGGATTTTGTTGATGATCTGAGTGAAGAAGTTATAGAGAAGGGTGTGGGTCCAGGGAGGGATCCACCGAGAATCAGGTCTTTGTGAAGAGGAGACGGAGGTTGTTGCGGAGGGTGTGAGTCCAGGGAGGGATCCACCGAGAAATAGGTCTTTGTGAAGAGGAGATGGAGGTGGTTGCGGAGGGTGTGAGTCCAGGGAAGGATCCACCGAGAAATAGGTTTTTTTTGAAGAGGAGACTGAGGTTGTTGCGGAGGGTGTGAGTCCAGAGAGGGATCCACCCAGAAATAGGTCTTTGTGAAGAGGAGACGGATGTTGTTGCGGAGGGTGTGAATCCAGGGAGGGATCCACCGAGAAATAGGTCTTAATGGAAGGGAAGACGGAGGTTTTTGCGGAATTTGTGGGTCCAGGGAGGGATCCACCGATAAATAGGTCTTTACCTGAGAGGTATACGGATTATGTTGTGGATTTTTTGGCTGTGTGCACTTTTGGAGAGGCGGTTGGCTCCGGTGAGAGGGTGAGATGGTGTGGTGCAAGGGGGTTAGCTTAGAATTGTTTTGTCGATGGCGACTCGGAGGAATTTGAGGTTGAGACGGTTCAATATCGAGACGGCGTTTTTGCGTGGGAGTCTAGAGGAGAGGATTTTTATGCAAGTTCCTAAACGTTATGTTGTGAAGAAGGGGAAGATTTGTGGGTTGAACAAGAGTCTTTACCGTCTAAAACAAGCTCCTTTGATGTGGAACATTGGTGTTATTGTCTTCATAGACGTTATCAAGATTTTTAGGTATTTTAATTCTAAACCTTTTAGTGTAGGTAGTGCAAATGTAAGGGGGTGTTAATAATAGAGATTCGTGCAGAGGAAGCGTGTGTGTGAGATTGTTGTAAGAGCGAAAGGATCGGAATTCAAAACGGACTTTTTCAGAGAAACTTTTTACAGAATTTTTGATCTCTTCCTTTATAGCATATTATGTTTTTATTGTATTTTTGTGGTTTTGGTTATTATTAAGAGTTTTGTGGTTTTTCTTGAGTGTGTTATTGATGTTTTATGATTGGTGGTTTGTTTGTTGATAATTTCTAAATTTTTTGGGTTTTCTGTACTTGTCTGGTGTTATGATGTATATCTGAGATTAAGGGGGTGTGTTGATTGGTAATCTCAGATTATACATATTCTTTTGTGATATACAGATTATACATATTTTTTAGTGTTCCTATGTTCTGTGGTCAGCCTAAATGTCTTATCTATGGTGGTCAGTATGTACTAAATATTGTTCTTTACGTCGCCTCCAGCGTGACCAGATTTAGTAGATTTCTACTTTTTTGGTAGATTTGGAGGTACTGGCAATAGAATTTAGTATGTAAAAATTATTAGGTATATTTTAGTAGAATACACGCTTGTCGGATAAATGCGGGGTATTTCCCCTTTCATTGAATGGATTGTAATTATTTAATTTTCTTTTTTTTTTCGTTACCATTCGTGCCGTAAGCACAGAGTGTAATAGACCAGTTGGAATACCTTTATTGAGAATTTTTATAATAGAGTTTAAAATGAAACGAAATATACACAAGGATATCGCGATGAATGGGAGCAATATTCCTCATTTAAAAGTTGGTTTGTAAATCTAAGGTATACATAACGAGTGCTGATTGTAAAGCATGCAACTGTGAAGTACTAAGTAAACTGGCGTCTTTGAAGGAACACATGGCTGCATCAAAGTATATAAAAAATATGAAAGGATATTCCGGCATTTCGTATGCAAGTTACTAAGGTAGTGGAATGTAATTCTTAGTTAATTATTCTTTTTAATACTTTCAACTTACGCAGGAGTATGAACCCGTATTATGTTAAAAAAAATCACTGTCAACTGCTAGTTAGATGTCTGAAACTTTTATGGTGGATAAATTTTAGAGTGAAGTCAGCCAAATCTGTTTGCTAATAGCAAACCAAAGTACGGCAATTTGTCCCGATTTGTGAAGTAAATGACGATACTACCTTTGTCAAACGCCGAAGAAGAATATTTTCCGATATTAATAGGATTAAAAATCAAGATTGAAATCAATTTAATAATAAGAATTTTGCATGCAATAATGCATGGAAAAGAAGGGTTACGAGGGATCAGTTGGAAGGAGTATGTAAGAGATTTGATCCTGACAGAAGTATGATCAAGTTAATGGACTCAAAACAACTTTATGAAAATGTTACCCAACATAAAGACGAAGAATCTTAATTTAAAGTTTAATTTTATTTTTTAAATTATATTTTTATTCAGAATTTATTTTAAAAAAGCCATTGGTTTCTGAACTTATGGTGGTTTCTTTGTTATTTTTATTACTTTATCGTTTAATCAAGAAAAAAACATGTTTTTAGGTTTTAACACGACAGCAAAAAAAATACTAGATTTTTAGTATTTTCTCGTTCTCTTTTGGTAGAATTCAGTAGTTTTAACCTCGACAAACAGTAGATTCGTCAAATGAAATCTGGTCACACTGGTCGCCTCAGAAAAAAAGCTTCATCGGATCGGCTTGTACATTACAATTTATACAATTAATTAATGTATATTGCATAGATTTATCTTTATGTTGAATATACGGTAACATACGGAACTAACGTTATAATTTATTTTCAATTAGTTGTAGTAATTTTATTTAACAACAATGGATACTATAAGCGGAACATATAATAATAAATGCAATAGTGTTTACCAGCTTATTACAGAGTTATGTCGAAAAACCACATTTTCGATGTGTTTTCAAAGTCGAACCTCACAAAATATTCTAATATCTAAAATGAGATCAATAGCCTACGAGATTATTTTAAAGAAAACTGCAATTGACTTTTCATGTTCAAGAAATGAGCCGACAGTGGAATTATTGTCATACTGTTTTTTATTACAAAGAAATGCCAAGAATGTGGCTGAATATGGGAGATCCATTAAATTGAAAGATGTGATTGATATAATACGTAAAGATAATTTGGGCGAATATAAAGAGCATTTTCAAAATGTGTTAAAATTGCTTATCAGTCTTCAGGATTCTTTGAAACCGGACGTAGAATTAGAAATGTTTCAGGTTGGCTATTGGTATATTTTATATTTTTAGACGTAATTATATTGAGTACTTTTTTTCCAGTTTGCGTTTTCTCCCTCTCATAATAAGTGTAATGTGTATATCAACCTGTGATAGGGCAACGCAACAATTTTTGCTGTTGCACAAATGAGCAGGTACATCCGGGGATGTACCACAACTTCACAGAAGTCCAGTGTGAAGAAGAAGTGGTATATGTAATTTAAGAAACATTAAAACATTTAACATTTTAGTTTAAACAATTATTTAAAACAACACTGTATATAAACATTTTAATTTTATATTATATATTTATGTTATGGATAATGCATAACTTGATTATAACTGGGGTCATAATGGGGGTTTTCTCAAGACTTTCCTTCACTGCTGAGATTGTGATAATTCAGCAATTTAAATTGACAATTTCATCAGAGCAGGCATGAACTCAGATTGCTTGATTATATTGAATTAGCGAACCACCCTGGCTGTATTACACATATAAACCTTCCTCTTAAATCACGATATCTTGTAAAAAACCCGTATCAAGATCTGTTGCATAATTTTAAAGATCTTAGTTTTTAGATCATAGTTTTAAAGGGTCAGGTCCCTATGTATGCTTAGATCTTTATGTCTCTCTAGACAGTTTGATGACTTTGTTTTATACTCTGTAGTGATTAAATGTGAGCACCCAAACACTGAATTATCATAGCTCTATTATAGATACATATTATATATATCATGTATATAATATGTATAATACAAAAAAACAAATATAAATTTTTCATTATCTCCAAAACTCTAAAAAAATAGTTAACTACAGAAAATAAAAATCCCTATTGCTAATGGAAGAGTATTTTTTTTACCTTTCTAAATTTAACTATCATATAAATTGACATTCTTAATAATTTGTCTTATCAGCTTGTAGCAAAAAGTATTCAGTACCATGTAATGGAAACATGGTTTTATTTGAAGTACCAAAATGTTACTCACAAATTTATTTTGTTACTTGCAATTATAGGTTGCCAGATAAATGTCTGCTTCATTATACATAACATGATAGAAATGTTCAGAATGTAAATTTAGTAAAAAATATTTAAATTGAAATTGACATATATGATGTATTTTACACATAAATTCTCTAAAGTACCATTGTAATTAACTTTTGTTTGATATAGTGCCAGTAAATATTGATACATAATTTGAGATTTTTAAATATTATTCTTATAAAATGTGTATATTCCAAAACTGAAATAACATTAATTTATAATGATATATACAGGGAAGCTTTTTTAAAGGTGCCCAAATTCACACAGGAGGTTCAGACTCGGTAGTATAATTGTTTATTGAAATAAAAAAAAACTTATTTCAAAAAAATTACCATTGTATTCCCTAAAAACAGAACTTGTTGACAGTGCGGTAGTCATTCATAAATGCGTCATATACTTTTGAAACAAACTTGTGTGCATGTTAGTTATGAATGATCGCGTGTAAAATAAATGAGTTGCCCATAAATCATGCACTTTTTGAGATAAGTTAAAATTAATGTAATTATTAATTACAAGTGATTTTAAATATGTATCATTTTTCAGCCTCCCTGTATAATATATGATGGTTTAATTACAATATTATTCAACAATGAAATTTATAATGTAAAGGAACTTTTTAGACAAAAATTGTGATTGGAAAGAGGAAAGAATTTCTATTTTCATTCACTAGGAAGCCATACTGTACACAAAGCTACTCAATACATTGCTTCACACTAGAGTTTTGTTACAGTAAGAAAATAGACAGATAGAAGATTTCCCAATACTTTTATAACTGTAATGTTATGTCCTTATTTACTTTCAGAGACCTTTTTCTTTTGGGCTTTTAGATGACATGCTGCCAAAACCTCACATTGAAGCTTTTGGTTCTCCTCAGCCTTATCCATACTACCCAGCTTATGTTTTTGAATTGCCATACACTTTGAAAAAACAAGCAAATAAACTAGATACTCAAGAATCTTCAACATACACAGAATATACCATAGAGACTTTTGATTCTAGGTCATGTAAGTTTATTAATGATTTCTTATAAATATTGTGTTAATAACATAGTATTTATTATGTACTTTGGCATAAAATTTCTTGAAGGAGGTAACAAGGGCTCTCTTTTTTTGGTTAGGCAATGCATCTGCAATCCACTAGCCGTTGTAGATGTACATGGATGGCGATACTCATTTAACATCAGATGAACTGCCTGCTCATTAGCTATGAAAAATAATCTTACTAATTTTTATTTTGTTTATCTTTTTACATGTCCATAGAATATATTAAATTAACAAACTTGCAATAGATAATACATGAATAGGATGGGAATCTATATACAGGCTTACCGAGTTTTGTATAATATTTAATATTGTAACTTTTTTTATTAGAGTTTAATGCCCAAATAAATTTTTGCAGTTCTTCCAGAAAAGGCATTTATGCAAATGCGTGGCATATCTGATGTTAAAACTTTTATAAGCCCTATGTCTCTTGTTTCATTTTCATCGGATGGGCTCTCTCTCTGTACAGAAAATAATGTTTTAAACTATCCTAGATTGACAGCTCCAAGAGATCTTAACATTCCTAAACCCTTACAATCTCTCGATATCAAGGCAAAAGTAAGCAATTTTTTTAAAATAATATTACGTAATTAAATTAAGTATTTACAAATCACATAAATATTACTAACTACTAACAGTTCATTTTTTATTTTAGGTTTCATTTCCAGTCTCTAATAGTGAATGTGCTGTACAAGAAATGTTTAGGGCTAATAAAAACAGCCTTGATATCTGGGAAGTTGCCACTCAAGTAGATAAAAATGTCCCTGAAGACATTTGGGATATAGTATGTGAGTTGAATGTGAAAGTTGTGACTATTATGATCTCATTCTTAGACTTCCTTATTATTCTGATTTTATGGGCTAAGTTAATAAAGTACATGTATTATATGCTAATAAAGAGAATTATGATGCATTAAAGAATTTCCTCAAAATGCCAATAATTTCTTTTACAAAAGGCAATTGCAGAGTAGCTTATGTTCCCTTACTTTTTATAACGCCCAGTTTCTGAAACACTGTTTATAGTTACTATTCCATTTGCTTGCTATATAAAATAAAAACCATTGTTTACGGGGAACTGATGACTGAATTTTTTACTCTACGTTTTCAAGTAGAGTTGATTTCCAGGTAGAGTTCCACTTTAACATAAGTCTTCTCCTGGTAAAAGACAAGCAGTAGAAGAATATACTGCCTTGGCCAAAAGTATTGGGCACACATGACATCATTAGATTTGAAGAAATTTACAATGAAATAAAATAATTTAATACAGGCTCACCTCATTATTTATTATTATAAAATATATATTTTGTGGTTGCACGCTTTGTCTTTGTTAATGCAGAAATTCTTGTTGATAGACAGTTGTCCGATCGCCCTTTTCAATTTCTATCGGAAGCGGAGTGCTCTAAGGAATTGTTTGAGTCGATATCTGCTGGAGAATTCCACCATCATACAACTTGTCGAACCAATAATTACCATCGACACTTCTTTGATGGTTGGCGGTCCATCACAGTGCGTTTTTCACGCAATTTTCTGCACCGCACATCTATCTACTTTGTTTTTTGTTTCTCATTTTGTATAAGTGCAAAATTTATAAGATGCTCAATAGTTTTGGCCACGGCTGTATAAAATCTTACCATCAAAAGGGAGAAACCAATAAAAATGGTAACCTTACCAATAAATCATCCTTTATGTTACCATGTATTCCACTGCCCATGAATCCACTAAAGGCACATTCATCAAATTATTGAAATTGTCTTATTCTTGTATCTTGTGTAAACTGAATTTTTTGCTTTCAGTCCCGAGACTATTAAAGCTTCATCTGACGCAGAACCGGTGGGCTAGCCAGAACCCACGGGTTTGGGCCCTCCGCTGTGGGTAGGGCCACGCATGTGCTCATGCGTGCGTTTAAGTATGGTGTGTCATCTAAGGGCCATCGAGGTCGCGGTTCGGACCGAAACCCCGATGGCCGTCGACTGTGTTATTAGCTAATCGGTGTTGAGAACCGCCCCGGAACGCGGGTGTACCTTGTGTACGCGTTGTGTTGGTCTCGCCGTGCTCGGAGGCGAGGGCGAACTAGTGTGTTTGTTGTTGCACTAACTGTGGGTGTAGTGTTATCCGGCGGGACCCCCGGCGGTGGGTCCGGCATATCTAAGTCCCCTTCCTCGACCGGGTTGATGAGGACGTTTCGCGGGCGACGGTTGTTGACGTTCGCGTTTGTGTCGGGTTGGTAATTTGCTGCGCTTACCACCAGAGGGTTGGAATGATGTTCGGATCTATGGAAAAACCGTTTGGTCAGGTCTTTAAAATATTCGTGAATCGTCGGGAGTCTGCAATCGCTGTGCAGGTCGACGTTGCGTTGATACCACTGCGCACCGGTTGCGCGGCGGATGAACTTATTTTGTACTATTTGAAACTTGTACAAGCGAGTAGGGTGCGTGTGGGCGAACATGCATGCATAGGACATAATAGGTCGTACGCAGGTCTTATATAATAATAATTTGTGCCTTAAGGGCATTTTACTTTTAGCGTTAGTTAAATTGTGTAGCCGGCCGGAGACGAACGCGGCTCTATTGCGAACGTTATTAATGTGCGTAGTAAATGACATAGGCGAGTCGACAGTGACTCCTAAGTATTTGACCTTTTTCTCCCAGGGGAGCGGTTGGCCATAAAGGGATATTTGCCCCAACTTTCTGCATTGACGAGGGCCATTATAAAGATGTGACGGGTAAGTACTTCGTGTGAAGTGAATCGTCACACTCTTTTCGGGATTTATTTCTATTCTCCATTTGCGGAACCAATCGCCGAGGCGGTCGGCGGCGCTTTGGAGTCGAGTGGTTAGTTGTCTAAGGTTGCGGTCTGAATAAAAGAGCACCGTGTCATCCGCGAAAAGCGCGATATTGACGTGGGGGTCTTTAGGTATATCGCTCGTGTAGAGCGTAAAGAGCATCGGGACGTGCTCATCCGGCAGAAGGACGTTGGAAAACACGTGCTCATTGAGCCTGTTTAATAAAAGCCGCTCGTAGAGCTTCCCCAGGCAACTGAGGATGGGACGATAACTAGAGGGCTGGTTGGCTGGTTTATTCGACTTAAGAATAAATTAAGAGTAAAGTATTTAGTATATATGTGGGATTATATCAAACACTTGTTGCAGTTCGTACGACGTTTATTGTCCGACTGCCGGTTGACATTCGACTTGCATTTACCCTCTATTATAATTATACATAACAATATTGTAAATGGTCGCCAGTAAACAGATAAGCGGTCCAGGGAGAGCTTTAATAATTTTGTTACTAATATCTGGGCCCGGGGCGGATTTGGGTTTTAAGTTTTTAATAATATCTTGGACCTCTTCGGGGGTCACTGAACTCAAAGGATCGCCTTCCGGTGGAAGCGCAGCCCTAATCTCGATTACGCGGTCCACCTCCGTTAGGTGGGCTGTATCGATGTGTTCGCGCGATGGCGTACATTGCTGCTCTAGGTTGTCCGCAAGGCATTCGGCTTTTTCGGAGTCATCTAGGGCTACTGAAGCACTATTAGGTCTAACTAACGGCGGTAGAGATTCGCGGGGGACTGCTTTCAGACTGCGGGCCAACCGCCTGTAGGCGGTGTGCGATGGCTCGATGTCCTCTAGGAGTTCCCACGTTGTATGTCGGTGTTCCGATACACGATCTTTGACTTCTAGCTGAAGGCGTCGAAGTAGGGTTCGGTTCGATTTCGATTCGATTCGTTTCGGTTCGATTCGTATCGGTCGCGTTTGGCTGCATTTTAGCCTAATTAGCAGTCGCAAGTCGGGCGGAAACTTAAACCGTCGGTCGCCCGACAGTTTCACCGTCCGTTCCGAGTCTGCGACTGCGGAAGTGATGGTTTCTCGGAGACTTGCTATCGCTCGATTTGCGTCATCGAACGTAGCTATCGTCTCGGGTAGGGCGACTAAGTCCTGGGGGTCCAGAGCCTTGAGTTTGACCTCAAGACGATGCCAGTCCACTACGGATTTGGTCGGAAGGACCGCACCGGCGTTCTGGCCCAGTTTACACAGGACGCGCCTGTGATCTGACTCTAGTTCATGGATTGGACTCGATGTCGAGCAAGACCTCCTTGAATAACATGATATCTAGGATACTCGGTGTCGCGTGTTGGTATTTGTCCACCGTAGGATACCTCGTGAGAGTCGCAGAAGCGATTATGCTAAAGTTTAAATTATTGGATAAGCTAAAGAGATGCTTTCCGTTGTTATTTGGGATGCTGTGGATGTCTCATGAGCCGTGCTTGCAGTTTAGATCTCCTGCAATTATCACGGAAGGGCCTAAGTTGAGTAGCGTATCTAGGTCGCTTTGTAATAAGCTTTTGTTCCCCGAGAGGTAGGCTGATACTAGTACAAGCGGCCTATGGCCGATGAGCGCGAACCTACACGCAGATGTCTCTTATATATGGCTTAGCTCTGGAATGTCGAGCGGGCTACAGTGCAAGGACCGTTTGTAATAAATTAAGGTGCCTCCCAGACGTTTTGTTAACCGGTCGTGGCGGACTTTGTTGTAGTTTGCGATTCTGGGATCGCGAACACTAGGTTTTAAGAAGGTCTCTTGCACTAGAAAAATATGTACATTATAATCGCGAAGGAAATCTGCGATTTCGTCCCTTTGACCCTTAATGCCGTTTGCGTTAAAATACGAAACAACCAGAGCCCGAGGTTTTGTTCGACCTGCGGTTGTACTTCCCATTAAAGTTTTTTATGAGTTCTAACTAACGACGCGGCGGAGCGCGATTTGCGCGGACTATTAAGTTTATGGTTGGCTTGTAAATGCCCAGAGACCTTCTACAAGCATTTTATGTTCGCTAATGGCTTTTTAATCGCTCGGTGTCAGATGTGGCGGCCGCTATTTTTTTTGTCTTATTTAAATCATAGTAGAGGTTGATAAATAGCAGTTGCCTCCCCAGTTAAAATAAAGGATAAAGAAAAAGCATTGTAAATTAAAGATTTTTTATACCTGGGCAACCAAACTGCTGCTCTAGTACCTTGATGAACAGATTTGGATACCATTTATTGTCCACAGCAAAGATGCCACCTGTCAACGAGAGACAAATCATTGCTACTTCAACAAGGGAAGTTGGTTTGTGGCAAAAACTTTATAGAGAAGAGCTTCCACATTTAAGTGTTATATCTGAGAAACAATTTATAAGGCACATCATGTACTTGATAAGTAAGTGTATTCACTTTAGTTCTGTATGATCTGATATAAATTCGGTTTTGATTTTTACTTTTAGAAACAACAAAAGCTGTTTATTTTTCGCGATTATTGCAAATGTTACAAAGACTAATTCTAATACACAGAAAATCCGTAATAGTTTTATTTGTAAAGCATATTTAAGTATCTATTAAGGTTAAAAAGTAATCTACTGTAAATCTCAACCGTTTTTTTTTGTTTTGCCTCTAATCATTTCGAAAGGTTGTGATGGACTTGATATTTATGTCCATATTTAAAAAGCGTTATCTGTATGCTCCATTGTTATATGTTTCCAAGCTGGATTTATCTTTTGCCATTTTAATACTGTTCTAAAACAGGCAATAGCCTAATTTAGTAAATAATATTTCAGTTGGTGTAGAAACAAGTTCATTCCCATTTAGTGAAGAATCAAACTGTTTTTATATGAAAGAAAATTTTGTTTTGGAGGGGATTTCAAAGGAGCATCTGCAAGGCTATGTCGGTGATTTATTGCTAGTCGGTACATACTATAAGCGTTTATATAAATTCGCTTTTAACCAAACCATTGAGGATAATTTCCAGAGCAAAGGGCTTGTTCATGAGGTAAGAATCACTTTAAGCATTAGCACATACATAAGCGTACATACAGACGCGTGCACACGCAAGCAAAAAAGCTTTGCTTACCCTGTCATCCCATACAAACATTGCCCAAAACACAAATAAATCTTAATTATTGTCGATGATAAACTTTTGCTTGTGTGTCGTCTGTCCATGCGTCCGTGCATCCGTGTGTGCGTTGCGAGTGAGTGTGTGCGTGAATGCGTGCGTGTGCCACTATAGAGGACATTTCGCTGAGAGTTTCTATACGTAAAAGACGCTTCTTTTCAAGGGAAAACTGAGGAATCTTCCAAGTTTCAAAAACCGAACGAATATAATGATCTTTTCGATATCGAGTTGAGAGCACCCTCTCCATAAGCTGCCGCCTCACGGCTGACGTTCCACAAGGCTCCTGCCTCTCACCCTTACTCTTTACGCTCTACACTAGCGACATACCCAAAGACGTAAATCTCGCGCTTTTCGCGGATGACACGGTGCTCTTTTATATAGATAAAAATCTCAATCAACTCACTACTCGTCTCCAAAGCGCCGCTGACCGCCTCGGCGATTAGTTCCGCAAATGGAGAATAGAAGAATCCCGAAAAGAGTATGGCGATTCACTTCACATGAAGTACTTACCCGTCACATCTTTATAAAGGCCCTAGCCAATGCAGAAAGTTGGGGGAAATATCCCTTTATGGCCTACCGCTCCCCTGAGAGAAAAAGGTCAAATACTTAGGAGTCACTTTCGACTCGCGTATGTCATTTACTATGCACATTAATAACGTTCGCAATTGAAACGCGTTCGTCTCCGACCTTAAGGCACAATTTATTTTTATATAAGACCTGCGTACGACCTATTATGCCCTACGCATGCATGACCTTCGCCCACACGCACCCTATTCGCTTGTACAAGCTGCAAATAGTACAAAATAAGTTCATCCGCCGCGCCACCGGTGCGCAGTGGTATCAACGCAACGTCGACCTGCACAGCGATTGCAGACTCCCGACGATTCGCGAATACTTTAAAGACCAGACCAAACGGTTCTTCGACAGAGCCGAACATTATCCCAATTGGTAAGCGCAGCAAATTACCAACCCGGCACAAACGCGAACCTCAACAAGCGTCGCCCGCGAAACGTCCTCATCGACCCGGTCGAGGAAGGGGACTTAGATACGTCGGACCTACCGTCGATGTTCCCGCCGAATAACACTACACCCACAGCTAGTGTAACAACAAACACAATAGTTCGCCCTCGCCTCCGAGCACGGCGAGACCAACAACGCGTACACAAGGTACACCCGCGTTCCATGGTGGTTCTCACCGTCCCCAGCCCCGATTAGCTAATCGACAGTCGATGGCCATCGGGGTCTCGGTCAGTACCGCAATCTCGATGGCTCTTAGATGACATACCATAGTTAAACGCACGCATGAGCACATGCGTGGCCCTACCCACAGCGGAGGGCCCAAACCCGTGGGTTCTGGCTAGCCCACTGGTTCTGTGTCAGATGAAGCTTTATTAGTTTCGGGTCTGAAAGCACAAACATCAGTTAATACAAGATACAAGAATAATTAATGAACTACATGTTAATATCTAGATCAGATTCATTATGGATGAATCGATCTATCGATCCATTATAAAAAGCCAAAAAGCTAATGTCTTATATTGACAATCGGAAACTAAACATATGGATGATAACACTGAAAATGTATAACATCATTCTAAAACTACTATTAAAGAAACTTCATATGGGCAATAAACATGCTCGGTAAGGTTCTATTCCATGTGAAAATGAGTAATTCTTTTTGGACAAGAAATATGAAAGGAAAGAAGACAGTATAATCAATATCACTTTTTAAGTTTTTTGTTTTGTATATTTTTAGGCTGCAAGAGAAGTTATTAGACGGTATCTTTTAGACTTTCGTCTAGTAGCTACGGAAGTGTACGGCGACTCCTGCAAGAATATTTCTGAAGAGCTGAACTGCATGCCAACACTACTGCAAATCTTGCATCATATTGAACCCTTAAAGCATGAGATTAAAACCATCGCCTCCATTTACAAAATGATCGATTCAGGTAACCACTCACCTTTAATAGAAAACACATTGTATTTTAGCATAAATCCGATAATTTTAATATTGGGTTCATGGATCCTGCAAAAAAAAAGATAAATTTAATCACAGTAATTTTTTCACAATAATTGGGATATGAGTATAAATTACTTTATACCTTATTTTGTTTACATTATGATATAATTTATTATATATAGTGTTTACACAAGCTAACGTTTGTGTTGTTTTATGTATAAAAAAAATACTGAATCACTTTTATTAACAACTTAATATAACCCAGTGAAATAAAAATAAAGAGCATTGTTAATTTAGTCGACCCCTTAGGGGATCATACGTTGAACATAAATTTTGAAATTATTCTTTTATTTAAAAGTTCTACGTGTCCTCATACTGTGTACCAATTTATAATAATTTGTTAATTTTTTGCTATAATATATATTCGTTTCAGATCCCAAAGCCACAATACCTAATGGAGCGGAGCTAATGTCATATTTATTTAACGAGATATCGCTGGTTACACACAAGACTACTGCACGCACGTTATTTAACTGTCTCTTTTCCGTGTGCAAAGTTTACTTCAAGTAAGTGTTAGTTTTATATCTCTTAAATCCGACAACTTATAAATAAAAAAATAAAAAGTTGTTGTGTCGCGAATTGTGAATCCAAACCATTCTCGAATCGACTTGAAGAAATACAAATGATTTCATTAAAATCGGTCTAGCTTTCAGGAGGTGATCAGTGACACACACGTACAGAAGAATTATAATAGTCGGCCGCCCGATTACCGACCGATACGATTTTAAGAGTACCTGGAGGACCGAGCTTTGCTCGGTTTGTTTTTTTTTTTTTTTGTATTTTGGAAATTACATCTAGATACAAATTACTAAGTAATGAAATATGCATATGTTTCGATCTTACCGACGTAATAATAAGAAAATATGAACTGGTAAATATGAACTTTAAAAAAAAGGGAAAAAAATAACAAAATAACAAATCGACAAAAATAAAAGATAAAGAGAGCAATGATCTGGAATCGAAAAAAAAGTAAAAAAAATAAGTGTGTAAATGATCGTGATACGAACCACAGCCTTCTGTTTCGTGACTGTTTGTTAGCGGCCGCCCGATTACCGACCGAGCTATTATAACATTTTTTTTCGGTGAAATTTACCGCCGTTTTCGAATAATATTTTTCATTTCCTGAAAACTGGGATAAAACGACATTTTCTAAAAATGAAACCTAGTCAGATCGATTTTTCGCCCCCGAATCTACGCACATACTAAATTTCATCAAAATCGCTGGAGCCGTTTCCGAGATTCCAATTATATATATATACAGCGTGTCTTTACCATCGCGACAATAAATGAACACACATAAAGAGGATAAATTTTTAAAATTGTATTAAACATTTACTTTCTTTAAACATCAATATTTACCGAATTAACAAATTTTCCAAAACAAAAAATTTTGGGACACCCTTACGTAAAAAGCTTTAATGTAAAGTTCATTTGTAAAGGTCACAAAGCATATGAATGGGTTGAATGAATTTAAAAGAGACAAAACATACTGTTAGAAGGAGAGGCTTTGAATGCGGCGCTGTGGCAACGAACGAAAAAGTCTCTGAATGTATGAATCAGTCAGTTGTAGTTGTATAGGATGTTACAAATTTTGTTTGTTTTTTACTTAATTAGTTTGTTTGAAAAATATATTTTTTTAATTATGGATTTTTTTAACGTTAATATTTTTGTTTGATTATTGGCAAGTAGCGTTAGACCTGTGTTCATTTATTGTCGCGATGGTAACGACACTCTATATATATATACAAGAATTGCTCGTTTAAAGGATAAGATAAGATTAGGGAGTCACGAAGCGATGGCAACGTTAAGATTTGGCAGTAAATATAATATTTGAATATCGAATGTCATCTTTTTGTGGAAATAATCCGCTTGAAACATCTCGCTCTGCTTATTGCCATCCACAGCTGGGCCACATATAAATTGAAAAAAAAATTGTCTATATTTTGTCTTGCCAAACTACCTATTTACACGAATAAATTTCATTTAAATATATTTACCACCTATGCACAGTCTGTGTGTGCTATGGTGCAATGTATATTACCCTCCAATATCGCAGATTTATCGAGAGGTTCATATTCGAGGGGGAATTGGACGACGCGCACAACGAGTTCTTCATAAGGAGGGACGGCCAATACGTGAACTCTCGCTCCAAACGCTACTGGGACAAGGGCTTCCATATAACGCTGAGCGTTGCGGTCCCCGAATTCCTGCGGGCACTGGCAAAGTTCATACTGTTGTGCGGCAAGTCTTTGAGGCTGTTGAAGTTGTGCAATCCCAGCGTAAGTGAAATATATGCACCGTTCCCTACTTTCGAGAAGCACTAATCAAAATACCAATAAATTCAAAAGCTAAGAAGAGTTAAAGTTATGCTATTCCCTAAACTGAAAATTGTCTATTTTTTTAAATTAAAAAAATAGATTTAATGAATGAAAATTATGTAGGGTATCAAGGGATCAGATCAAAATGGTTTATATTGATATCTTAGGAAAATATTTATTTAAATAAAATTATATTTTATATTAAATTATAAAAATAATAACATCGTAAATCTCGTGCTTGCTCTCTACCGTTGATTTTACTAATTGGAAAGAACGTCGCGCGGTCCCTACGCAGGGCCCGCCCCAAGTAACAAGCGTGCGTTAAAAAGAGACAAGGAAAGGGAATCGCTAAAAGTAGAATGGTAGGACGTGACGTCATTTTGTTGACTGTGACTGTTGACTTTTGACTACTCATAGCTTCCGGAAGCTGTTTAATCAGCTTCGTTCGAAGCCTAAATTGAAAAAAAAATATTTTTGACTTTATGTTGACTTTAGAAATGTGATGATTTTACAAATAGGCAGATATTGCTTCATCTGCAATCTTACAGGTGTAATTATCTGAACTCGGAAATATCATGAAAGTATCCCCCGACGCACATCTTCTGAACACGACATTATTTGTTTACTTCGTAATTAGTTCTTCGAAGCATTAATAGCTTACTCAATGATAAACGGTATTAGCGCTTCTTTAACCGACTTCAAAAGGAGGTGGTTCTCAATTTGACTGTTTTTTTTTGTTTGTTACCTCATAACTTTCGATTGAGAGAACCGTTTTTGATGAACCTTTTTTTATTTGAAAGCTGGTGATTGCTATGTGGTCCCATATTAATTTCATTGGTATTATTTTTATTTTTTATTGGAACTCCTGGAAATCAATTATAAAATGAATACAAAGCGAGGTATTCGAAGTCGGTTTTGTTTTTCGTTAGTAAAAAAATGGCCATCGTAGGATCCGTTGGTCCTGTTGATATCGTCCGACCACCCGTCGGTGAAATGCTGCGCCAGCTTCGAGGAGTTGGAGCGGCAGCAGCAGGTGCTGGACGTCTACCGGACGAGGTGCCTCTTCGTAAGCGGGGAGCCGGTCACCTTCGACCAGATACTGCTAAACAAGGAGGCCGAGAGGAAGGCCTTCACGGAGATGGCCTCCTTGAAGCAAGCCGAGACGATGGAGAAGATCGTTGGTAGGTGGCCAATCGTCAATCTCTTAAGATGTTCACTCTGAGACTGCCGTTTCCTAACGTTTCACCGCATCATGCCTCGTGTCTCTGACCCGCTTAGTAGGAATAGCAAATTTCTTTTACGTGCTGCTTGTGATAGTTTTGTTGACGTTTAAAACGTTTTTTTCTTAAGTTTAAATTGTTATTTATTGTCGTTTTTCCACGATGTGTAAAAAAGATGACAATAATCTACAAATTTTGTTTCCCTTTCGTATTATTTCTCATTTTAAGTGATAGTCTCGATAGCCACGCTCACGCTGTCACACTGTTTGATTTCACCGATAACTCTTAATTTTTCGTTTCAGCCGAACGAAAACGTTTGGCGCAATTGATAATCGCCGAGAAACAGCATTCGCTTAGAGTGCTGGAGGCCGCAATGGCCGAGGCGAAGGCGGCGAAGAACAAAGCCAAGCAGAGGGAGAGGAAGAAAAATGAGCTCGAGGAGGAGTTGGAGAGGGCGACGGAGGAAGTGGACTCCAGGCTGAAGGCAGACGAGAGGTAAAGACCAAAGTGACATGTTACTTTTGTGTCAAGTATGCGAGCAGATAAATAGAGAAAATGAAATAAATATTTTAGGACACATTTATACAACGTTCTCCAGTCCCAAACTAAGCAATGCTTGTACTATGGGTACTAGGTAACTGATAAACATACTTAAACACCCACACAGGAAAAACACTATTTTCATCACACAATATATTATTTCTCCATGGACATCTACAACCAAGGTTATAAAAAATAGACGTGGGAATTTTTTATACTTTTGTGACAGACCAAATCTGGTTACACCACCACACAAATCTAACTATTTAACTTAACCAGTTTTTCATTTGTTCAAACAAAAGAAAACATAATTGTGTAGGTATTTTAAATCATAATAATTTTTCTCTAATACATTTTTCCATAAATTTATATTGGCTTCATTAAAAACTGAAGCTACCAGTGCGGTAGAGGTTGTGTCATTTCTATAGCTACTTATATGTATTTCTTATGCGACATTAGTGTTATTAATTTGTTAAAAAAATTCTCGCTAAAAGCGATTAACTGCATAATGCAAATTTCATTTTAAAATTAAAATTTTCCCTACAGAATCAAAATAATGGAATATTACTCCAAATTAAACATGGAAGTGGAAAAGAGCAAAATACACACCGAATGGAAGATCAAACGTTTGCAGCTGGATCAGAGCAGGATACAGTTGTTGTCGACCGAGGAGAGGAATTTGAAGCGGGAGAAACTGGAACTCGAGCACAAGCGTAACGGCGAAAACATGGAAATGTCCATAGAGAGTCTCGATTTGAAATCGGGAGAGACCGACTCCAGAGACACCGACATCGAGAACGAAACAATCGAAAAGGATCAAGCGTCTAACGTTCAAACACCGGACTCGACGAATTCCAAAGCGATGAGCGATGATTCCGACAAATCTACGAATTTTACCGATAACAGCAACGAAATACTCGCGCCCGCACGCGCTATCGCTGCGAACGAGGGTGGGGAAGGCGATAACGCGAAGCAACTGGATCGCCAGGGGAACGTATTGAACGTTGACCGCGAGAACAACCGCGAGAGGAGGGACTTCTCCACGTCCAGTGACGTCATCGGGGGGAAACTCGACGCCGAGGTCGACAACCGCACGTTTCTAGGGGCGCGCGACGACGCGCTCCGGAACAAACTGAAAGTGATGTACCACGAGTTCGGCCGCACCGACGACCAGAACAACGAGTTGGGACCGCGGAATCCGTCCGCCACTCTCACTCCCGTAGACGAGGAGAACAACGAATACACATCGGAGGCGAGACGGAACAAACTGAAAGTGCTCGGCACTGAGTTCGGTCTCCCCGTAGCCGAGGTAAGGGAGCAGCCGGTGCCGAAGACGGACGCCCAAAGGGAGGCGATGAGGAACAAGCTGAAGGTCCTCGGCGTGGAGTACAACCTGCCCTTCGAGGATGTCGCCAAAAGTCGGCCGGCGAACGCTGCCCAGGAGGAGGCGATACGCAACAGGGCCAGAGTGCTGGGCTCGGAGTACGACGAGCGTCTGACCAAAGCCAGCCCGAAGTTCGAAGCCGGCAAGAGGGCGGCACTCACGCTCGACTTGAAGCCGTTCGTCGATACGCCGGGTTCGAATCTCCTCGCTCCTAATACCGGCTCCGTCACGCCGGCCGATCTTTTTCCCAGAGTGAGTTTGCGTTTACATGCTTTGTCATTTTTATTCGAGTATTCCATATGATAACAATATGATTCAGCCCTGAATATCTATCAATACAATATAAAGTGTGATAAATATTAGTTTATCGCGATTTAATTGATGATAGCGAATATGCAATTTCGACGTATAAACCGTTATTTGATCTCATTAATTTTTCATAATATATCAAAACATTGAGATATTTTTTCATTAGAAAAATTTATTACTGCATATTCGTGTTCATTTATTTTGTTTTTAAACTAAAACCTGAGCAGAGAACAACCTGCTACTCATATAAGTCGATGGCTTCATCGTTCCCTCTAAACTCGTTCTCATGCATTGCTGGATGACACTGATTTTACGGATTTATCGTGATTGTTTTTAATTTTATTTGCCGAAGTTTCGATAAATTCGCAGAGTTCAGTTTTATTCACTAATGAATAAACGTTTGAATACAAGAAATTATGAATGAATGAATGAAATATGCTTTGTACACCAGACAAATCATTAGAAAGCGTAACGAAAATTACTTATCGCTTGAAACGATACTCCATGCGACCTCGTTACAGAGGATACAATGACCAATAAATGAGTAATTTCACTTATTATCGTTCACTTGCAGCTCGATCTGGAAACGCCGACCACGGCGGACATTCACATGGATGGGGCGGCCACCAGCGATATATTCTCGGCGGCCAGGCCCGACAAGGAGTATTTGAGCTCGCAGGGGTTCGACTTCTCGATTATCGTCGACGAGAGCGCCGTCACCGATACAGGTGAGCTCGCCGAGAACAGTCCCGGCTCGTCCCCGAGAAAAGCGAACAAATCCCTCGATTTAAAGGACCGTTCGAACGGATATACGTTCCATAACCTTATGGACGGAACGTACGACTTCGAGAACTTCGACCCGTTCGGGATGAGGAGTTTCGAGAATTATTCGGAGGAATGTTTTGGGAAAGCGGTGGGAGACTGCCCGCCTTACACCCACCCGGCCGCCATAATGGAGGAGGTCAAGAAGAAACCATACAACAATATTTTCGTGTCCAATTATATAGCCGACGAGGATGTTGGCTCCAATGTTGAGGGCAACAATATAGCAACGCTCACCGCGTGCCTCCAGAGGTCTGTGATGCTGCCGCTCACTTACCAACTGGAGGTGGTGAACAACTCGATCCTGACGCACTTCCTGGTCAACCTGGACATGTACGAGCATCTGAGGAGTCTGAAGGACTACTTCTTCCTGATGGACGGGGAGTTCTCGAGGAGCATCTGCCACAATCTTTTCGCGAAATTGACGAAGACCGTGAATCCGCAGGAGCTGCTGAATTTTGCCACGCTGCACAACATCCTAGATAAAGCGCTAGGCTCTTCTATATCGCGTAAGTGATTTTGTCCTTTGCTAATTAAATGTACTTTTTTATATGTATATACATACTAGCTGACTCGGCAAACGTTGTTTTGCCATATAAATTATTTCTAGAGGAATCGGAACGCACGCATAAAGTGTTTGACAGGTTACACAGATACAGTTGACAGGTTGACAGGTACAGTTTGTATAGGAAAATAAAATTGTTGCTATTTCAATTTTCCATGCAATCTTTCCATAATTTCTCATCGTTTAAACCTTCCCTGGACTGCGAGAAATATTTCAAAACCACAATTAGCCAAATCGGTCCAGCCGTTCTCGAGTTTTAGCTTGACTAACGAACAGCAATCCATTTTTAAATATAAGATTTTAAATGATTCACCTTCTAACAATATGATTATTTAAATTAAACAATAATGTATTTTTATTCCACACAACTGACTTACTTTTACATAAATGGACGGGACCGTGAGGAATGATCGTGAAAGTATTACAGCCTGTGTTAAGTCAATTTATTGAAACTTTTGCCTTTCATCCGTGATAACGGACGGTGTGGATCCATCAGCAGCAGGCTTGGTCGTTTTTCAGACACTGATAAGTTTTTTTTTTACGTTTGAAGTTGTAAAACGAGTAGGTGGTTCGCCCGATGTTAAGTGATTACTTTCACTCAAGGACATCTACAAGTGCGGATGCAGATGCGCTGCCAATATTAAAAAAATTGCCAACGGTTACCGCACCAATAAAACAAACGCAAAAGAATAATTCTTTCTCTTCGGACATCTGTGAGGACTTGGTACTTCGCTGGACGAGGCAGCCCATTTCTGCTGCATAATATAATAATATATAATAAATATATGTCTGCATATCTTCTTACAGATGTCCACAAGTTCTCAGAGAACCTCTCCTTCACCATAACCGAGCCGCCGCTGAGCTTCCAGCACAGTTCTCCAGACGCCCTCCAGTGCCTCTCGCTCACTTACACCGTGGGCTGGCCCCTCAACATCATTCTGTCCCAAGAAGCCCTCCTTCGGTACGCCAGGGTGTTCCAGTTCCTTGTCAAGATGCGCCGAGTGGCCTGGGCCCTGGGAGAGGACTTCCAGGTATCACTTTAGACACCTCTCATGTTTAGATAGTTATACAGCCACTCTACCTGTGTGTTAATCGATAATACTGGCTAGTCTGTAATGCGTTTAAGAAACTTAAACCATTTTCACCCACTCGTATTCAAAAAATGACAGAATGACAGAAACTCTTTTATCAACTGAAGTTTATGTCGGTATCTTTTTAAATAAAGAAATGACGTTATTTTTATTGACTATCTCGTTTAATTCATGCTTGCAAGACGGGCGTTAGATGCGATATCATATCAGAGCATCGACAAGCATCACATATCCACACATCTTATGCCTGCGAGGATGATTGTAAAGTCGTGTACAATTTTAATAAAATAAAAAACAATTCAATAGGTGATTTCGTGATATTTTAATGCACAAAAGTGCTCAGCAGTCTGGTCACTGCACAGACTGCTGAGTCGTTACTAGTTAGAAGTCTGAATGCCGTTTTTGACCGTTTTCATTAAATACGAGAATAACAACTTTATGACACAATTGCCTATAGTTCCAAGTTATTTAATTGAGCCGTTATCGATCGCATTCAGTGTAAATGTTGTTTTCCCCAAACAATGGGATACATTTTTTAGTTCATACCATAAGTGCACGCACGCACGTTCCACCCGGCGCAGACGCTGAAGCTGAGCGCGAAGGTGGGGCGCGGGCGGTCGCGGCGGCTGGTGCGCTCGCCGCAGTACGTGTCGGCGCAGGTGTTCCGGCACGTGATGGCGGCGCTGGTGCGCGCGCTGGAGGGCTACATGGCGGCCACGTGCGTGCAGGCCGCGTGGCTCGAGTTCGAGCGCGCGCTGCGCAAGGCGCGCACGCTCGACGACCTGCACGAGTGCCACGTCGCGTACGTCAAGAAGGTGCTCTTCCGCTGCCTGCTGAACAACCGCTCCGCGCCCGTCATGAGGCTCCTCAACGACATCTTCACCGTCGTGCTCAAGTTCAGCCGCGTGCTCAGGGCCGGGTGGGTGCGACCGGACGCTTTTTGTTTTCGTTTTTTTACCTTTAAATACAGTGGGCCCCGCCTGCCTCACTCAACAGACGAAACGCAGTAGTGTAACACTTCTACTTTACGCCGATCTTCTGTGAGGTCGTAGTACTTACCCGGAAGGACCAGGCCTATTCGTGCAACAGTAAAAACTGTTGCGTGGCCATACCACACTTAAGCAATGTTTGTTTGTTCCTTTTAGGGTTCCGTACCTAAAGGGCAACACGGGACCCCATTGCTTAGACTCCGATGTCTGTCTGTCCGTCCGTAACTGCTGTAGTTCTGTTGCGGCTGCTATAACAGCGAATACTAAAAAACAGAAAGAAAATATTTAAATGCCCATTCAACAGACATGTTTTATTTACCGTTTTTATAGATAATGGTACGTAACCATTTGTGCGCGAGTCTGACTCTGTCCGTTTTTAATAAAACATTGCCCTACTGTAGGATAACGTACTGTGTTGTAAGGACGTTTCCCAAAAAATTAGACGTGGATAAATACGCAGAACTGAAACTATTATCTGTTGGTCACACGAATACTTGTCCCGTGTGGGAATCTAACCCACGAGCCCTGGCGCCGAAGCCAGTACCTTGCCAAGGTACTGCGCCACGGAGTCATCATTTATCTCACACAAAGTATCTTATATGAAGCATCTCTTCTCACATAAGTTGAAAAAGTAAATTAACAGCCTATTCATGTTCTACTGCTGGGTAAATGCCACTGTACATAGGATACAGAGCATAGTCCACCGTGCGACCCCAAAGCCGACAGATTTCACAGATCTTCTAAGTATTTGTTTTATTATTTCGAAAATATGCAAATTTTCTCACAATGTTTTCCCTCACCGTTGAGCACGTCATGTTATCACTTAAAATTAGCAATTTTATTGTCGCTGGCACCGCGATTTGATCTCAGGTTGCTCGAGTATAATGAATAAAAGCGAGTGCTCTTTTAATAGACAAACACTTGTTTTTAATGAAGGTCTTACTTTTCAGCCGCGTCCTTAAAAACAAAAAGATAAATGGGTCACACTGGTCGTTTATAAATAATAATAATAAAGCCCTTTATTCCGAGCACTAAATGTTCTTACACTATACTTAAATAAGAAATAAAATAAACTACAGAAAGTCCCGTAGCTCGGTGTGCCTATTGGCAAAGGCCTCCTCCAACGACCTCCACTGTTGCTTATCTTGGGCTACCCTTCTCCATTTTGGCCCAGCTGTTAGACGAAGTTCGTCTTCCCATCTTAAACGCTGTCTGCCTCGGTTTCGTCTTCCGCCTCTTGGGTACCATTCTATAACCTGCCTGCTCCACTTTCCTAACTTGTCACGCATCGTATGTCCAGACCATCTCCACTTTTGCAAATCAAGTTTTGTGAGTATGTCGGTGAGTTTTGTTTTTTCTCTGAGATCTATGTTTCTAATTTGATCCTGACGTTTATACCCCGTCATACTCCTCTCCATAGCTCTTTGTGTTCTGGCGAGCTTTTCTCTTAGAGTTTTTGTGAGGGTCCACGTTTCGCACCCATATATCAGGCAGGGTAGAATGCAGGAGTTGAATGTTTTTCTTTTGACTGACATGATTAAGTCAGTCGATTATAGAACAGGTTTTTTATTTTAATCTCGTTTTTTTCTAAATGAATTCTTTACGGAGCGAAAACATTGTGTTTTAATCAAATAAACTATTATTAATTTTTTTTTAAGATGCAATAAACCATTTTAATATAGGTTTCGGGTTACATTGTAACTTTTTAAGTTATCACGTTTCAAACGCTGTTATAGCAGCGTTCAACAATTGGATTAAATATTTTTGAGAATAGTTATATCTAACGTTTTATTGTAAATTTTTATTCAAATATTGCAAATGCACTTTGCATCTTATACAGCTTTTATTTGCGCAAAACGGTGCATGGAAGAAATGTACCAATAGCCATGCCGCATTTATATTAACATTAAAAAAAAGATATTTTATTTCAAGATAAAATTATATGCCGTTTTGCTCATTTCAAATAAACCATGGTTGAAACCAGTGCGTAAAAATTAACACATATGTGAATTCATAATCATTAACAAAACATTATTGAATGATTTAACAGCGATTGGCAGCAGGAGGCGCCTGATGCGTGCTTCACGCACCCGAACTTCGCCCAACTCGAGGAGTTGTTCCGTCTGTTCGAAAAGTTGGCCAAATATCTGCATAAGGTGATTACGAAACTTATGGAGTGCGGCTACCAGAGGCACCTGGTCGAACTCCTGACCATGGTCAACTTGAACGGCTACTATGACCCCGACAAGTCGAAGGAGGAGCAAAATAGTACGATGCGCAGCGAGCAGTTGCCGTCTTAGCATAGCATTTTCATCAAAACATACAGAGATCTGATACAAATTCCAGTTAAAAAGTTTTATAGCGTGTCGGTACAACGGCGACAATAAATGAACACACGTCTAACGCTACTTGCCAATAATCATAAAAAAACATAAAACATTAAAATAAATCCATAATTAAAAAAAATACTTTTCAAACAAACTAATTAAATATAAGAGAAACAAAATTTGTAACACCTATACAACTACAACTGACTAATTCATACTTTCAGAGACGTTTTCATTTGTTGCCACAACGTCGCGTTAAAAGTCTCTCCTTCTATCAGTATGTTTTATCTCTTTTAAATTCATTCAACCCATTCATATGCTTTGTGACAATTTTGTACAAATGAACTTTACGTTACAGTTTCGTACGTAAGGGTGTTCTAAAAATGTTTGTTTTATAAAATTTATTATCTCTATAAATATTGATGTTCAAAGAATGTAAAGCTTAATACAATTTTTAAACGTTATCCTCTATACGCTTGTTCATTTATTGTCGCGGTTGTAACGACACGCTGTATAATATAGTTGGTTAATATTCCTTTTAAAAATTAAAAAAGATTTTTTGTTTTGAGCAAGGTGAGCATAATTAATTTACTACATTAACAAAGCTGAGGAAGAAATTACAAAAACCATACTTCATTATACTACAGACTACATACAAATCACAGATCTGAAATCAAGGAAAAATTGTTTTAAAAATCTGAATACGTTTCATTAAATAAATAATTATACTTTGTGATATGTAGAGCAATGTAAGTATGTCAATTATTTTTAGAGTTAATTGCATGATGTGCAGGCAAAGGTTTCACAAAAAATATACTTTTTACATTTATGAGTTTTCTTTATAACAACATAACTATAATAACATTTTTGTATTGGTATACTTATGTGCAAGAAAGAAAGCTATTGAAAACTGGAAACTAAAATAGTCTTAAGTCTGATTTAAGAGAAGAATTATTTTTATATAAGAACAAAATACATAATGATTTTGATAAACTATAACCATTTACTAATTTTATGTTATTTTTAACACATTGGATGGGCCGAAAATATGATCAAGAGTAATATTATCATGAATATAATTGAAATACTATGTGAAATGTTGAAATTTAAATCTGGTCAAATATTTTTGTTTTTTTGTAAAATTCTAAAAGAAGGCATAATTAATAACTTTGTATGTTGTGCTATTAACATTTTATAATATAAGACAATTAATAATTCACTTAATGTTATCGTTATCCTGTAAGATGCAGTGCTTATGTTAATGTTATAATTATTATAATGCTGAAATAGGAACATTTTTTGTGATAAAAAACGCATTTGCGACATTAATTTACTTGTGTGTTACATTACTTCTTTTACTTATTTCACTTCTAGATAATTTTTGGTTTAGTGTGGGAGTGGTCAAGATTTGTCAGATTAGACCGTTCATATTTACATACTGTAAGCACTGTTTACCCCATTAAGGGTTATGTGTTTGTTGATTGTTGAATTTTTTATGAATTGTGATGAAATTTGTTATTTTTCATTATCTGGTGTATACATATATAAAAAGTATTACTTTAACGCTGTGATATTTCTATAAAAGACATATCTTTTACATTTGTAAATAACCCACCTTTAATAATTTTTGAGTATTATAGATGTGTAGCATTTTAGATAGTTATCATGAAACATTTAATAATACTCATTTGATCATCTATTGTTGTTTCGTGTTAAGAGAGGTAATTGTTGTGTTCTGTTCAATCCAAATGTAACTCAGTGTATTATTTTTAATTTTAGCAGAAAGTCCTAACAGAAATAAAAATATTCATATGAGGATTGGTTTTATTTGTAATAACTGTTGATAAAATGTTTGTTTGGTCCAAATTAATAATTAAAAGGCCTTTAATTCCAAGCTTTTGTTGAAACCAGAAAACTTAATCAAGTCTGCTTAAAATGTTTATCTTAGTTAAATATATAGGCTTTATTTGGATCCAAAGAATTACTAGACCAGGTCCTTACTGCCCTGACAAGGGACAGCGGCAGTTGAAAGGAATATATATTGTTCTCGGAAGAGGCGCTGGCACTTTTCGAATGGGACGTGAAGGATGCACTTACCTAAATTCAAGGAAATCCTCGATAGCTTTGCGCTTAAATTGTCGATTACAAAAATAGGCTATTCGTTTAGTAAAACAAAAAAATAGTTACAGCCACAATATCTGGCCTATCTATCTGCGGTGGTAGGGCCACGCAGTAGCCTCGTAGACCTCACAGAAGACCGGCGTAAAGTGGAAGTATGACAAATACTTTCGCGTTTCGTCTGGTGAGTGAGGTAGCCGAAAACCAATTTTCAAAAGGTTGTCAACGCATCTGTAACCCTCGGGTGTAGCAGATGTCCATGGGCAGCGGTATTCACTTACCATCAGGTGACCCGTCTGCTCGTATGGCAACTCTTCGCATAAAAAAAAATCTGATTTATTCTAGGACTACTCATAAGCCCAATTTTCAAAAGGTTGTCAACGCATCTGTAACACTCGGGTGTGGCAGATGTCCATGGGCGGCGGTATTCACTTAACATCAGGTGAACCGTCTGCTCGTTTGACAACTTTTCGCATAAAAAAAAAGCCGCATACTGCGCGATGTCTTTAATGTCCAAGGGCGGCGGTAATCACTTAACATTAAAATAACAAATTCAGACTCAAATGTTTACTTTTATGATTGGTACTTCTGTTCTTGCACCGCAAAACAATTGCAAAGTAAATTATTCTGTAAATATCATATTTACGGAATTACGGAATTAGTTTTTGGACAAAAGTCAAGAATACTAAATTATTTCATAAAACAATTTTCATAAAATGTATCCAGATATAAATTCGACAATTCAGTAACAAATATTCTAAATGTATAACATGTTACATGTAAAAGTAATTAACTTTTTGGAAATAGTTACATTAATCCTGCAAATATGTTCAATCAAAATATACAGAAAACCTACAGAGAGGTTTTTTAAAAACAAAAGTTTCTCACCAAAAATCAGTCATTGATTTTTGAGTGAATTGCGAAATAAAGGCGAATAGTAGTATTATTCATTAACATTTGTTCAGCTGAATAGTACTTGCGATGCGAAGGAAAGAAGATACATACAGTCAAAAAAACATTAATTTGTTTCTCGTAGTCGGGTAATTAATGTAACATACAAGACAATATGGTAGGTAGTATAATAAAATTATGGTAGATGGCAGTAATCTTAAAATAACATTGTAAATTAATGCCATCTACTGGTGAGTAGATTGAGATTTGTATGTTGCCATCTGTTGTGAAACAGAATAATCCTCTGAAATGGTCTTAAGGATAATTTTATTAAGGAAAATATGAAATAAAATAAAATTTTCTTCTTCTAAAATTGGTAATTTTGGAAAGATTCACTATTAGTTATTTTTTTATAATGCTTAAAATAAATGTTACTCTTATTTGAAGACCAGAAAGTTGACAGATGTTGCCGCTGCGACATCAGCGCCAATATTTTCCTTATAATAAGACTGTTTTCACGAATTCTTCATTCTACAGCAATTCGTCCTAGGGTGAACAACTGACTGAAATCGAAGCAGCGCGTGTGACATTGAAGTGAAAGCTATCGTTTTGGCTGTATTTAATCGCAAACAACGTATAAATCTCGAAATAATTAAAAAAACACAATATAACCAAAAAGGACATTTCAGTGCTATCCGGTACAGTGAAAATACTTTATTAGTATCGATCGCAGAGCTACCTATTCGCGATTCCTCACCGCGACGCCCTCGGCATTACACCGAAAACGTTTAAGCACAAGAGTAACCGTCGCCGCCGCCGAGATGGCGTTCATGATGCCCGTAGTGAAAAACGACTGGGACATTTACCACTCGCAGCGGTCCCGCCGCACCTCGGAGTCGGCGGAGAAGGTGGCCGTCGGGGGGCGGGTGCGGAAGGTGTCGGAGTCACGCTCGGAGGGGCCCGCTATGTCGCCGCGCATGGGCTCCACTATGAGCCCGCACCGGAGCGCGCCGGCGATGCGCTCGCTGTCCTACTGCCGGGCGCCACCGTCTCGGGCCTCGCTGCGGGCGCAAGACAGCCCAAGGGGCTCGGCTAGCCCGCCCAGCTCCGGCCGCGAGCCCGAGAAGTTCCACAGCAGGTTGGTGGAGAAGCTGCGCCGCGCGCTCGGCCGCACGGAGTCACGCCGCGAGGAGAGGAGTTCGTGAGCTAACCGGGCGTGCTTGTGTACAGGGCGAGCGCAGAGTCCCCGGAGCGCTCGCGGTGCGGCGCCTGCATGCCCTACCTGTGACGCACGCCCGCACAAGCGCCGACACACTATCTGTGATACGTTTGAGATAGTGCCGAGTTGAGTAGAACCCATGAATGTGCTAACTATAACCCGCCTGTTTATTTCGGAAGTCAAACCCAACCGATCCCGTTCGGTGTTCACATGGAGGCCACGCGAGCAATAGTATTTAGCAGTCACACATTCTGTCCGCTTCCCTAACTGTTGCATGGTTGTCATTGTCGCCGTTTATGTTATGATTCTGTAATGAAATAAACTCATCAGTATTCGATCCTTTTGTCAGGTTGTTAAAGCGGCTGTAATGTATGTTTTTAAGACTGTATTTTAGTTTAAGGACGTACACCGGGTATGTGTTTTTCCAACGGTACACGAATATATTGGCCCGGTAGATATTTGTATGTATGTAGGAATATTAAGTGGCAGTTCACGATTGGTATCTGTGATTCGTTATTTCTAAGCAGTATTTATTTATTTTACGAGTTTAATATCTGTTAATTTCATACATCAGTGAGCTTTTGTATGCAGTTACTAACGACACTTTTAACGATACAGAAAGTTAAAAAGATTAGAAATCTACGCGTACCAGTATTGACACCTAACTGGGCTTTTTGAATGCAATTCAAAAATAATTTTAAATGATGATATCTTAGCTAAATTTACCAGTTTCGTCAGTTTTTAATGCATATCGGTTTAATTCATGGTTCTTTTGGATACTTTGAAACGTTATGGTGTTTAATTTTTATAGAAGTTAATTATTTCCTACAAAATTTTACCTAAATATATGTTGTATTGAGCGAGAACTGTCTGTATTTATAGGTGATCATCTTATATGTAGGTGAGAACGTGTTATAGTCATCGCAATTTAGCAGTGATAAATTTTCCTAAATTTTTGTAAGTGGAGTCAGTGCTCTTTCTTTAGTATTGTATTAAGCTATAGATGTACTTTTTGTTATATATTTCGCATGATTTTATTATAATGTTAACATAATGACTGTATAAATGGACCAGCTTTATTAAAATGTAGTTACTGTAACGATGGACATCAGTGAAACTGAAGGAGACTGTCGTTTAAGTTTAATGAGAGGATTTGATGAGTATGATTGTGTCATACATTTAAGGTGTAAGAAATATCTGTGCGAGATGATTTGGGAAGACGTTAGTGTTGGCACTCGGGCGTTTTTCACACAAATTTTATGCCTCAAAGCAACCTTATGTTTAAGCGGTTTAGTTTCAAATTTGTCCTTAACTCTACAGTCCGAGTATACGATATGGAAAAGGCTTAGTTGAAGAGTTTTTAAATTATGAAATTACTGAACTGCCATTTGTATTAGTGTATCTGTGTTCACTTAAATTCTGAATGTCCTGATTTAAACGGTATTTTAGATTTTGCTACATATGTGTATGGTTTCCATCCGATTTAACATTGCATGTTTGCAACTGCATTATCCGATCTGAGTATTTTCTAAATATATGAAGCTTATTCAAAATTCACCATCTTTTATTGTCTCACACCCTTATGTTAATCTTGAAAATTTCAATTCACCTTCGCCGCATAGTTTAGGGAACTTGACTCGACGCGACCGCGGAGGGGAGAAAGCATCTCTACCGGAACCTACTCTAGAATGTTCCGCAGCCGCTTTTTGTTCAATTTCATTCGATAAGCGAGCATATATTGAGAAAACTTTATACAATAAATGGGGCTACTATTAACCCCATAATTGAGTAACACCTGTTCGTTATATACAAAGTACTTTCGGTACGGAACACTAAAAATATCGATTGACGAGAACAGATTCAAAAAGTTACGAGTTTAAAACTTTAACGTTAAATGTTTATCGCAGGGATAATAGGGGGTAAAACTGATTGACGCTCAACCAATACAAAAATACAATAGGAGATTATTTATTCAGTATTTCGCAAAGATGCGCTTGATTCCAGGTAAATCGTAAGGATTTTAAGATAAATTATTACGATAATGGTAATGTAGTGGCTCCCTCTTTCTTAATTCCCTTTTTAGTTATGTAGAGTTCTCTCTTAGTTATGTAGAGTTTGCAAATTGAACCCGCAACAAAGATATTCCTGTATTGTATGATATGTTAAGGCGTTATCTATACTTCGGTGTGATCAGTCACTTGAAATTTTGCTGCGCCATTATTAATTACACCGAAGTAGGTGAATAACAATAAAGATAGTGATTTATCGATAAGGATAACAGATAACGCGCTTACTTCTATCAGTGAGCGTGTATTAAACCTTAGCCTAAATTGTCGATAGTTTATGTAGGAAAATTCCGTTAACACGGCACAGTACTTTCGAGCCTTTTAACCCTAACAGAGAATTTATAGTCAACGCCAAAATTTCTTTATTCAATACTAGGTCTGCGTAGAATAGGCTGAAGGTGTAACATTCAGACAGAAAGACAAATACATAAAAATATGTATATAAATTATAGCCTATGTCTTAATCTGATGTATAAGCTATAGAGTAACAAACTACAACATACAAACTTTCGCGTTTATAATATTAGTAAGGATAGGCTTATTTTAAGTTCTTATTGAATGTCATAAAACTACCAACTATGTACAGGAAAAGCTATTGCTATTGCTTGCACACGTTTTATCGAGGTTATACAGTAGAACGTGACAGTTGAGCCCGTCATTGTACACAGAGTACAATCGTAAGACGGTGACGTTCGTAATTAAGGAAAGTGAAGTTTGAAACATCATTGTTAGACGCTAGTTGAATTTGAACTCGGGACCTCAAATCTCGAGTCCGCGTTCCATAGCTTCTTTGCTAAAACTGCAATCTTTTTTATAATATTGGTGATTACTCACATAAATTTGTCATCTCTTTCGTAAAATGAATTATTCGTATAGTGAAAAGGATTACTAATAGTTAATGTAAAGAAAGAAAAGTAATTTCTTGTAGCTTTAATTACTATTCCTAATTTTACTCGTCTTGTATATAAATATTTACGTCAAAATAATTAACAGAGATTTAATTTACATAAATCATTTATAATATTTTAATAATTCGATTAATTTCATTTATGTATATAGGTATTTTAAATGTTTTATTTAGACCCAGAGAATTTTATGTTTTTCTCTTGGATAAAATTTGCGTTCACACTATAATGTAGCGCTGAATTTATGTTCTTAACTCGGTAGTTTATGAATGGGCGATAAAACAACTTGTATACTTTTAGATTGAACCGTCATGTAACGCATTTTTGCACGAATTAACAGCCACGAGAAACTCGGGAAACATAAAACTTCCTTTATTTGTATATAGGTAATCTGTGTTAAATTTTGGCGCGTAAATGTGGAAAGCAAATCAGCACAGACATATTTTTTATTATATTTAAAACAATTATAAAAGTAAAAATAAAAGATATTTAGTACAAAGAGTAGAAGAAAAAAGAAATTACCGTTTTTACCACTCGACTTATTACAACAATATGAAATATTTATTTTCAAAGTTATGCGTGGTCATACATAATAAAATGGAACATTATTCGATGTAATTTTTCCCACGGAAAATCATCCCCTAACCGTTTTTCGAAGAATTTTTAAGATAAAAAATAGGCAGCCTTATGGGGACTGCCAACAGTGAAAAAAAAAGTGAAAAATAGAAAAATATCAAAATTAAAACTGTATAACATTTAATTCTACATATTTTATGGGCACCCCAAGCGATAATAATAGTATTTATATCATATCCATCCAACAAATATATTTAAATTTTTTTTAAAGTTTTCACTGTTGCACGAATTAGCAGGTCCGTACGGGTAGTTACCACGACGTCACAGAAGACCGGCGTAAAGTAGAAGTGTTATACTTCTGCATTTCGTCTGGTGAGTGACGTAGCCGGGGCCCAATTTATTTAAAGGTGGCAACGCATTTGCAACACTACGGGTGTTGCAAATTTCTATGGGCGGCGGTTATTAATTAACATCAGGTAAACCGCCAGCTCGTTTGCCACTTATTCACATATAAAAAAATATTTTTTAAAAATATTTCATGGAAAGCGTTCGGTGACGATTGATTTTTTTTTCACTTAAAAGTGCTCAACGCGCTTAAAGAAGTTTTCACTTCAAAATATACGTGTTGACTTGAGAACATCCTCCATTTTTCATCGGTTATAAAGAAGAGGGTCCCAATTCAGTTCTTTTATTTTGTTTGTAACTTACCGTCATTTTGATCTCATATTAATTCCCCTACTTGGAATCCAGATATACATGAAGGGAGACTCTTCAAAATCAAATAAAAAATGAGCAGTGATTTAAATATTTGAAGTCGATTTTGTTTTTTGTGAATTAAAATTTTATATTATTTATTATGCATATATTGCTTGTCACACATCTAGTTCTCATGCACTCGCCATTTGCGTTGTGTCGCTAAGTGTATGAAAATCTCAAACGAATGACAATAAAATTAATGGACCGTGTGGCTTATGTTTGTGTGATTATTAAAATTATCAATATTTCTTATGAATATGGTTGACACGAATGACCTCTGTATGTTGCATGACATATTCCATTTAACATTTGTATGATTTCGCCTATTGCTTGTGTAACGCGATTTACATCATCCTGTTAGGAGTGCATTTTCCTAGACCCTTCTTACGACCTAGTTTGCTAAAACGTAATTTATCGACATTACATACTTTTTAACAATGGAAGCAAAATATTTATTACAATTTTGTCTTATGTATACAGTAAAATGGGTCTACAGTAAATTGTTCATTTATAGTAATTGTTCGTTTTAAAATAGAAACAAACTCTACATTTTTCTGTATATAATATTGATGATTACTTCATACTTTTTTACACAACTACACAGCTCTTTCTTTACTCAATTACGAAGTAACTGAGATATATTAAACCAACAAAGGGTCGTTTATGTAATAAGGTTATTTAATTAAACGTTAAGTTTATTATTAATTCTTAGAAGGAAACGAAAATGTTTTATAAGAAAAATGTTATATGTAATACCTATGTT